AGCTTGCTCTACTTGTATCTTGAGACCATCAGGACTAGGAAAACACTACCTCTTCCTAGCATTAGCATCGTGATGCTTCTATGCAACTACTTTGTACATGCTTTATAAACTACCTGGTACTGATTGTAAGTCCATAGCTCCCGACAGCTCAGCTGCATGAATTCTTAAGACAGAAAATTTAAAAGTCATTAAAAAGTGTTCTTGTTGACTCTACTAAGTGCGGTGGTAGGTGTGTTACAGTTCTTTAAATGTTTACCTAATGGAGAATATGTGCTGCGGGGCCTCTTCTGTGCAGATGTAAATCATTACAGTTAGCCAGCTACTGTAGCAGTTCTTGTTTTTAGCTCTAGATGTTTTTGTTTAATCCCACATATAACAGCAAGAAGTAGTCATCACAAAGGCGCTTTTATTAGATGTAGGTAATAATGGCTTCTGTACCTGATTGTTATAATCTGCCCAAAGTTCAGATCAAAGTTGTTAACCTGTGCAATGAAAATTGCAGCCAAAGCCTCATATAAAGCAGTTCCATCCATATTAATTGTAGCACCAACTGGGAGTACGAATCTTGTAACTCGTTTGTCTACTCCATTTATTTCCTCTAGACACTTAAATGTAACAGGTAGTGTTGCAGAACTGAAAAAAAAAAAAGAAAAGGTAATATACAATATAAATTTTACAAAGAGGAAATGAAAAGAGTGTCATGAATTGTGATGACAAGAGAGATTGTTCTGTCTTAATTTTTCTGTGATCTACCAGAGTATTCTTTTAAAAAATGTGAAGGCTGAATTTAAACACTTCTAATGCTGGAGGTCCTCCTAACGTTCTTGGAAAGTTTTTCCAGTGGTTCATTATTGTCATTCTCTATGTAATCTCTAGTCTGAATGTGTCTAACCAGTATTTTGTCATGAGGTTTAAAAAATTGCTGCTTCTCGTTTTTTATGTCATGGAGTTATGACTGAATCGTCCCTAAGCATTTTTTTCCTGAAATTATACAAATAGAGCTATCCAAGCCTTCAGTAAACAGCATGTTTTCTCTTATTAATTTGCTGGCTCCCCTGAAAAAAGGCATTTTGATGGACAATTACATTACTTTACTACTTGGGGTTTAACACCACTAGGCAGCTAAGCACTACACAACCACTCGCTTGCTCGCCCTCCCTGAGTCAGGATAGGCAAAGAAGAAAAGAACAGTAAAAGCAAGAAAATGCAGGGGTTGAGGATAAAAAAAAGTTTAATAAGTGGGAATAAGATAAGGGGAAGGAGAAGGAAAACAAAAAACCACAAGTGATGCAAAGGCAGTCACTCACTAGCTCCCACAGATAGACCAAGGTGCAGCCAGTTCCCAAGTAAAAGATGCCTAACCTCCCTAAACTCGACTCTTTTCCCTTTTTATCGCTCAACATGCTGTTATATGGCATGGAATATCTCTTTGGTTAGTTCGGGTCATCTGCCTGGTTGTATGCCCTCCCAACCTATTCTGCACCCCTCAATCTACTCACTGTGGATCCAGAGTGAGAAACAGAGAAGGCCTTGACATTGTGCAAATACTGTTCAGCCATAGCTAGAACATCAGTGTGTGATCAGCGTTGTTTTGGTCACAAATCTAAAACATGGCACCATACGAGCTGCTATGAAGAAAGTTAAGTCTGTCCCAGCTAAGCACCGCTGGGGGCAGGGGGAGGGGCAGAATTAATTAACCACTTAATCTTATTCTCCAGCTGCTACATCCAAATATGATATAAATGATAATTTCATTTAAAGACCAACCTAATTGAACATCTTGGCTTCATATGCTACAGGAGTACCCATTCTGCCCACGTGATGCCAAATTCCTTTTCAGAGACACTGCTTCAGAAGGAAGGATAAATTGCCCATTTTTTAAGAGCTGTCTGGGCTCTTTGTTCTTAAAGATGTATCTCTACATTTGATCACATCAAAGTAAAGAAGTTCTTCAAGATCCAGAAATTCAGATTACTTTGTCTCAGTGACCTCTTCACTGCTAACCACTTAAAAGACTTTCATGCCTTTGCAAACTTCATCAATATTGATAAAATAAAATACTGATAAAATGTAAAGAAGGGCTGTGCAAGATAGTGTTAGAAAATCTCTTTGATGACAGTCAACTAACAGTTGAATTTTAAACACCTTTTAAATCCACTTGCAGTATAGTATGTTTTATATGATCTCTTGGATCAGTCCAGGTTATTACTCAGAATCTTGAGCAACACCAAGTGGAATGTCTTACAGAAGCTGGAACATATCCTCTTACCATGACTACTGTTATCCATTTGGAGTTTAATTTTATTTTCTCTTCAACTATGTTGACTGGCATTAGTTTTATTATCTTATTTTATAAATCATTATTAATCAAATTCCTTTTTAGGCATTTCATGAATTTGCAAGGCTTGTCATTAAAATGTTAAATGTGCAGTATGTAATTGTCCCTCTCTACCCATTAATATACTGTCATAGTTTTTCTAAGTCCTCAAGAAGTTTTTCAGTGATACAAAACTTAATCAGATTCTACGTTAATTGTCACAGTACCTTCTCATCCAGACCGTAGAATCATAGAAAATTTTGCGTTGGAAGGGACCTTTAAAGGTCATCTAGTTCAACCCACCTGCAATCAGCAGGGGCAGCTTCAACTACATCAGGTTGCTCAGAGCCCCATCCAACCTGTCCTTGAATGTTTCTAGGGATGGGGTATCTACCATGTCTCTGGGCAACCTGGGCCAGTCTTTCACCATCCTCAGTCTTGAAAATTTCTTCCTTACATCTAGTCTAAATCTACCTGCTTTTAGTTCAAGACCATTACCCCTTGCCCTATTGCAACAGGCCCTACTAAAAAGTCTGTCCCCATTTTTCTCCTAAGACCCCTTTAAGTACTGAAAGGCTGCAGTAAGGTCTCCTCTTCTCCAGGCTGAACAACCCCAACTCTCTCAGTCTGTCCTCACAGGAGAGGTGTTCCATCCCCTGGATCATTTTTGTGGCTCTCCTCTGGGCCTGCTCCAGCGGGTTCATGTCTTTCCTGTGCTGAGGGCTCCAGAGTTGGACATAGATCTTCAAAGTAATCCCAAACACCAGGGAATTGAATTTAGTAATACAGGGTATCTGACTTAAAACCTCTGTCTTTAGGAGACACTTTTAAAATCTATTAAAATGAAAGGTCATATGGTATAGAAATTTATATTTGACTACAATAATCTCTCCTTTCATCATAGATGCAAACAGGTTCTTTATTCACATGATGTTCCTATGACTTCATCAACAAAGAGCAAAAGTGACATTTCTGTTGCAGGTTGTGTATCCATCACTGGCTATCAGGATTTTGAGCACAGAATGTCAAGTGCCTATAAGGGAAAGCAGCTCCATGGAGAAGGACTTTGGAGTCCTGGTAGACAATAAGTTATGCATGGGACAGCAATGTACCCTGGTGGCCAAGAGGGCCAATGACATCCTGGGGTGCATGAAGAAGAGTGTGACCAGCAGGTCGACAAATGTTATCCTCCCCCTCCACTTTGTGCTGGTGAGGCCTCATCTGCAGTATTGTGTCCAGTTCTGGGCTCTCCAATTGAAGAGAGACAAGGAGCTTTTGGAGCTTGTCCAACAGAGGGCTACGAGGATGATTAAGTGACTGGAACATCTCTTGTAGGGGGAAAGGCTGAGAGACCTGGTGCTGTTTAGTCTGGAGAAGAGAAGGCTGAGAGGGGACCTTATCAATGTCTATAAGTATCTGAAGGGTGGCTGTCAGGAGGATGGAGCCTGTCTCTTTCAGCAGTGCCCAGTGATAGGACGAGGGGCAATGGGCATGAACTGCAGCACAGGGAGTTCCACCTGAACATGAGGAAAAACTTCTTTACTGTGAGGGTGACGGAGCACTCGAACAGGCTGTCCAGAGAGGTTGTGGAGTCTCCTTCTCTGGACACCTTCAAAACCCAACTGGACGTGTTCCTGTGCAACCTGCCCTAGGTTACCCTGCCTTGGCAGGGGGGTTGGACCAGATCATCTTCAGAGGTCCCCTCCAACTCCTACCATTCTGTGATTCTGTGAAGGGCTCTCAAGCTCTCTCAGAATCCTCTCTGAACTCTCCTGTTTGCTGCTTCTTTCTGCCATGCGCATCTTTTGCCAGCTGCATCCTTCATTAGCAAACCATTACAAACTACTTAAAAATTTTAAACACCAAGGCTAATCAAAGTCACAAGGATTCTGGCGATATGGTCTGCATCACCAAACAGTGTCATTTAACCTCTGTTCAGGGTTTCTTATAAAAAATAGAGTTCAGGTCAACATAATGATAATAATTATCTCTGTTGAAGAGCAGCAGAACTGAAATAAAGTGCCCAGGTAAATATTTGAATACAGAGTTAACCAATTACATTAAGCAAATTCGTTTCTCAAACCAGTAATATTACAAAACAAATATGGCCTTAAAATGTTGTATTATACCTGGAAGATGTTCCCAAAGCTGTGACTAATGCCTGGATTAAGCCTCCAATAAATACCCAAGGGTTCTTACGAGTGATCAGGAAGTAGAGAAGAGGTAGGACAATGACAGCATGAATTAGCAAACCGATGATAACTGTTACAGTATACATGGCAAGCTGACCACCGATCACACCCATATCTTCCATCTCAACAATTTTTCCAGCAATCAAGAAGAGGATTCCAAGTGGAGCATACCTGCAGATGAGAAATCACCTCAGTATTGCACTGAACAAAGTAGAAGTTCACTCCTCCATCCATACCTTTGGTGTTTGTATGCATGCATGAATGTAGGATTTCACTGTTAGGGTGACTGGGATTATGCAGAAGCAGTTCGAGACTTTAACTCTTTAACTCTTAACAGTTCAACCTGGATTAAACCACAACAGTGAACGTTTCTGATAGGCTTTGTTGGATTTAGAATCTGGTAAGGATTTCAAGATGTATAGCATGCCTTTCAGACATGTAGGGCGATGACGTCCCTTTAGAATTCAAGCGATATTTAAAAGCTAGTTTAGCCAATTCTAATTCTGCCTGTATGAACAAAGGCTCAACTGACATAGCTGTAGACTATGTCAAGTGCGCAGTTCTGGTATTTCTCCAGTGTCTTTTCACACTAAATTACCACAGAACAAAATTTTTCCAGCATATCTCAACTGTATTTTAAGCCATCAAATCCATGTAGAAGTTTCTCAGAAGTAACAATTCTCATCCGCAGCTTTATCATCTTGAGCATGCTTGCACAGAAGAAGAAAACATTTTTGCTTTGTATAGATGTTTTCTGGCAGAACAGAATTTTAGTTACTGGAAAAAATATACTAATTTTTAGTTTTGTACCTAGTACATATGTGTGTGTGCTCTTGGGTAGGCTTTTGGAATTTGTTTGTTTTCTGTAGTAAAGGCCACAAGACACAATTTCTTTCCTTAATTAATCTTCTACCTGACAAATAATGAATCTTCATTGTTGAAAAGGCTTCATGCCTAATGTGTGAGGAAAAAGTTATTGATTTTATTTACCTATTGAACACAATAAAGAAAGTAGGAAAATTATGTGTACATGTAAGCTGTGCGGCTACTATGCAAGGACATATATATACACTACACAACTGCAGGAAACAATTGCATTGGAAACTAATGATAACAAGGTCTTGCTGTGTAGAAATAAGATTATGGGAGAGGTTTGTTGGTTTCCTTTAGCAAAGCCAGATTGGGATATAAGGAGCTTTGATAACATATTGTTGTGACTGCTATCTTTATGAAGATGTAGAATGGCTTTGTGTAAGCTTAGTAAGTTCTGCCACAGACCGTGATTTTTCTCATGTCAAAAGCTAAACACACTGAAAGAGTACATAAATTTGGGCAAATAATTGACATACATACAGAATTACAGTTCTTGGGTTCACTGATGAAAAAAAACTATAACAGAGTTAAGATCTTATTGTCTGACTTGCTGCCAAACAGGGTCTTGCCTGTTTCAGTGCCTGACTACAGTGAAAAAATATTGTTAATAACTTAAAATGGAGTTTATCAAAGAGTCACTTACCACATGATTAGAGCTACCAATCTCATGATAGCCTCATTAAGGCTATCAAAGAAGTCTTTTAATGCCTGACCTTGCTCCTTCATGCTTCCAATCACCAGGCCAAAGCTTATTGAGAAAACCACCAAGCCAAGGGCATTTACTCCATTTACAGAACCTGGAACAGGAACTATTTCCTCTTTCATTTGGGTGAGGGTTTCGATTGCTTCTGACACATTGCTTATTATGGAAGCCACTGTGGATGTGTCATTGGATGGAATATCTACTTTAAACATTCTCTTTTCATAGTTAGTTTTGAACTGTTAAAAATAAAAGAAAGATAGGAATTCTGTGAATTATAGCAAACAAAGGTAAAAATCACACATTAAGTTATTAATTACTATTGTAGGACATTTGAATTCTTTGTGTAATATCTGTTGGCAAAATGTACTGTAATGAAAACCTGGCTTCCCTGAATGCAATAAAACCCCACATTAACTTCAAAGCTAAATCTTCATCTTCAGTTTTCAGAACTTGTTTTCTCATAAATACGTCAAAATCAAAGGCAGGATTTGTCATGCTTATGAGTTTTGTGACAAAACTATTGATTCTTAGTTTGCATTTTTGTAAATTGTTATTTTTCCCAATAACTTTTTTCCAACTGTTAAATAAATAGGTCTTTTTTGGCTAGTTAAAATATTTTCATGTCCTCTAGTGTTTCCTTACTTTTTCTTCTTTCTGAATTAGAAAAAATTAGACTAAAAGTAACTTTAATATATCATACCTCTTTTTTCCTTTGCTATGGAAAAGCCATTAGTAATCTACGCTTTGCAGTAGCAAATCACCACTTTTCTCAATTAAGAAAAGGGTTCTACCTTAAATGCTTCCCTTATGGAATGAGCAAATCAATTTCAAAATCTCAATATGCTCCTAAATGTCTACTTTGAAAACCAATCTTTCACCACCCAATGCTTTTTCAAAGAGAAATGTACATCCTGAATATTTCTGTCTGCGCTCAAAAAGCCCTGCAGCCCTGGTCCTGATTAAATTCTGTTAAGCACAAAGAATACTAAGTATCACCAGTGTGATGTTGCTAATATATCTCAGAATGCTAAATACCCTATTATGGCAATGGGATGCTTGTGTCAAGGTTATTCAGCAACTTTGGATTTTTATTCCTTTGAGTCTGCCAAGAAAAAACAAGTATTAAATCCAGGAGCTGTAGAACTAATAGTAGCACCTGGAGGCTGTTGCACACTTTGAAAGCATTTGAGTGAAATGGAGCACTTATGACAAAGGTGGGAAACCCGAATATCAGCGTCTATCAACACTGACCTAATTTTCTGTTACTTTCCACACCTGAACAGTCTTGGTGCACTCCTTCCACATATTTTCTGCATACTCTTCAAGGCTTTTAAGTCTTTCAGAATTTCAAATAAAACGTGCTTACAGGAGATTTATGGAAAGTTTCTGAGTAAGATGTAGCAGAATAAATCTCCATGGAGGTCAGATATTCTTGAGTCTTAAATGAAATTTGCTAAAACATTTAAAGGTTTGGTCTGTGGTTAGAGGAGACAGCCGAGCTGTTTGAACAGTTGTCTGACATGGAAAAGCTCAGCTCCACTCCCTCACCCACTCACATCCAACCTGTGATAATTTCTCCTCTGTGTCAATTCTGGTTTGATTTCTCACTGAGATGATTCTGCTTTTTAAATTGGCAGAAAATTTACCAAGCAAAAAAAGTGGCCATTTTGGGTAAAGGTTATGGAGGTGAATCAGCTCACTGACTGATTGGCAGAGAGGGCAAGACACTGAGACTGGAACTACACAGCCAGGGAGAGAGGGATGGGTTTGCCTCTTTAAGTGACAGAGGTATTATAATGGAAATGGAAATTTTCTAGAAGTTATCTCTAAAAGGTTTTTAATTCAGTCCTGACAGGAACGTGTAAATACTGCCTAACAGCGTACATCAAAGACTTCTAATTTTTTTTTTAAAATGTGTACAGGTATGATAATTCTGTTACATGTATGTTTTTATTACTGTTTTTCAGTAGGAAAAAACCTTAAGTAAAAATTCCTTAATACAAATAACTGAAGGGTGTAATTATGCTGGACTTGTGGGCATACAGATTAGACAAACATAGAAAAGCAAGCTGCTTAATAAGGACTGGAGTTAAAGCCTAATTTCCTACCAAATTTGCTCTTAATTTCCTACTTTCCCTGGACACATCATAAATAACTTTGCCCTGATTCTCCTCCATCGCCCTCAGGTCCCCCTCTCATTCCTACCTATGTGGGCAGGTCAAAAGCAAGACGCGATACAGCTGTCAGACAGTGCGAGGTGTGTGCTGCCTGGCTGGTTGGCTGCTGCCTCTTGAAACAGGCCACAAGCTAAGTCATAAACTGCTTTTCTTTCAGTGGCAGCACAGTCTTGATTTGCCTGAGAATTGCCCTCCTTGTGTCAAGTTAGGTTGGAACTGGCCATTGGGCTCAAAAATTATGAGAGGGCACTAAGGAGGAGTTGGCAGTGAAGTGAATGGCATGAAATTTCTTACTTTTAAAAACCCAGTTAGAAATAATTTTAGGTTGTAATTAACATATTCCTTCTTTTTTTTGTGCTTTGATTCTTGAATTCTGCCTTTAATCCTTTATTAGCTAAATCTCTTTAGGGATATAATATGGATTTTACGACCTCACTTAGCAAAGTCCATTTCCATTTCAGCTACTAGACTGGTACACAGAGATGTAGAACTTATCTGTTGATTCACCCTGTTGGTCAGACTTAAGTATCCAGAAGTGTTACTAGGGAGAATAGTCTTTCTAGAACCCCTTCCAGATCAGTGGAGAAATGGTTTATTTAGAACGAGATTGAAAAGGGAATCGGAGCAACGGGAATCAGAGCAACTTTATTTGCTCTGGGACAGTCACTTGAGCTAGCCTTTTTTTCATTATTGCTAAATGAGGTTAAGGATAACTCTATGGATGTGTCTGTCGTCTTATGCCCGAAGTTGTCTATCAAAAGTCATAAGAATCTTCCTGGTGAAGCAAAAGAAATTAAGGAAAACGGGAAATGGAGATATCTACTAAGAAAAAATTGTAGGTTGAGCTTTATTCTTATTAGTACTTTTTCAGATGACACTAAAGGCAAAATACAAGATTGCCTGACCAAAACAAAGCACATTTTCTGTGTGTGGAATGGTGAAAAGCCAACTGTTTATAGGAAGTGACAGGATGAAAGACCACCTTCAAGATGATAGAAAATGTCAAAGGTTTTGAAATAGATGAGGTAACAGTAGAGTTAGCTATTACTGCTCTGCAGAGAAACTGGTGATAAGAGATCATTTTGTCAGCTTTTATGAGATTCTTACTTTCAGGCATATCTGTATCTTGATGGGAATCAGAGTTATCAGCTGCTCATGTACCTCAAACTAACATTTTAGTATCACACTGTGATTCTGCAGGTCCTTGTTCTTTTGCGACATTCAGTTAATGCAAGAAATTAGACAAATTAAAACTGCTCATATAACAGACTGTAGGCTTAAAAGTCTCAGAAGAGCTGTTTATGTTTTATTAGAAGTCCATACACCTATACTGATAATCTGTGATGGACTAGACAACATCACTGAAGTCCCGTCATTTCTGAGGATGTTTGGTGCATTTTGTCTCCAGGCAGAGGTGTTTTTGCCTGGTCAGATTTTAGATGCAAAATATTCATAATTTTCCCTTAAGTTCATGTATGGAGAACAAATTAGGAGCAAAGTAAATATTATTTGGAACATATTAATACAAATAGCTTGCAATGAACAACTTTATCTGCAAGTAGGATATAAAAATGTCATTTCTGCACTTTCTCACAAGACACATGCTAATGAACAACTTTGAAATGAATTTTAATTAAGTTATCTTATTATGAAATAGGCAATATAATTACTTTATTGCATAATATAATGAATGCGCTCTTTACACTTTTATTATTATTTTGTGTTCATTAGTGATACAAGATACTGACAGTCATTTGACTTGAATATATTGCATGACTTTTTAAGAAGCAACATTATAACATGGCAGTAGCACATTCCAGTGGTTACCTTGCAGACAAGGTAATTGCATGGGTAACTGCTCTGTAAACCCATTAATTTACTGTCAGTACCCTGAGACAATATCATTAGCACTGTCTGTGCTATGTATGATTATGTAGTTTTTAGTGAACAATGATTTTAAAAGCAACAAATTTGCTTAAATGCAAGCCTAAAAAAATTATATTAAAATAATTGATTTATTGATTGATAATTTGATAATTAAAATGATATCCCAACTTCCTACTTGACTTTTTCTTTCCTTTCCATATGGACATGCATGAAAGCATTCTAAATTGTCTGCAGAAGAGCTGATGACACAGGTTAAAATATATCTTAACTAGCCAAAATTATCATGAGGAATAGATAGTATATATTAATTAGTATTCATGTCTGGATGTGTGATTAACACTTCCAATCCCCTTGATGAGTTCAGGAAAGAATATTTAATTAAAAATAGCTCAGAAGAAATGCAGTTATCATTCAGATGCACTTTTCCAGTTCTTTAAGCTTCAGTTGGCATCACATTCCACCTATTCACAACAGAATGACCCTCCCCAAATTGTTTGAGTGATTCTGTTTCTCTTGGTGTACCAAGTTCACTTGTGTTTCTTTTGTCTTTTTGATATATCCCCAGAGCACAGCACAAGGAACAAGCAGTTAGAAAGTGGTATCTCTTTAACAAGCGAGTGCTTACGATTGCTTAGCCCTAGGCTAGATAGCACTTTTGAATTTAGCAAAGAAAGAGAAATGAAGAGATAATGGCCAGAGCTGAAAGACAAATACAGAGATTTATTTAAATGTCCCTAAACTGGGCGTGAATATAACAGTATAGAGAAAAATTTGAACAAAGTAATCTAGTTTTAGGTAAGTGTGGAATATTTATCTGCAGTCTGTCTTTACAGATTCCCCTATTACGGATAAAAATCACAAATGCCCCCAGATGATCAGTACATAGCAAAGGTAGCAACATATGTTGTATGGAAATAACCAGCATCAGAAAGTGTGCTGTTTGGGTTAACGATCTGCTGTTTCCAGTCATCCCTATCTGCCACTGATTTAATTGGAGGAGGTCCCGTTAGAGACAGGGTGCCAACAGGACTTTGGTCTTTCACAGGGAGAGAGGGAGTAACTAGTGAAGAACAGAGTGGAGCTACAGTCCAACATTTTCCAAATTATTCTTCTTAACTTGACCTGTTAGGCAAGGGTGGCTCTTTGTCCCCATAGACTTTCCTGGGGCATGGGACTGAAAGCCACCAGCTAAGCCTGAAATGGTTCTGCCAATTGTCATCTGAAGAGTTTGAATGAAAGGGTTCCCTTAGCTCTTTTAGGGTCTCTCTTTCTCTCCTGCAGGTATTCCTCCTGGCTTCTGGGATCCTTTTTGGAGGGGAACGGGCATTTTGTTCCTGTTTCTGGGGAAGAAAATGTGCAAAGATGGAGGAGGAGGAGAAGAAGAGGCAAGAGAAGGCAGCTCTGTTTGCATTACAGACTTGATGGGAAAGAACAACAGGAAAGGGAATCCAGAGGTCCAGAAGACTGAATGAGGAACAGTAGAAAATTTAGAAAGATCCTTCCTAAATATGTCCTAAGGTCCCAGTTTTCCTTCACGACTCTTCTTCCAGCAGCAATCCTATAAAAGCTTTCCCAACTCCATCTAGAAGCTGTCCTCACCTTGGTTATCCTCTCCACACAGCTCCATTTCATTTTTCAGGAGAACAATTTCACATCCAGAAAACTAACTTTACTTCACTAAAAGTAATTATGCGGAGGAAAGTACAATTTTCCATGTCTTGGTATTACAAAATTTAAGTAATAGTTGATCTTTTGAGGTTAAAACTTTGGAAATGACAGCTGGTCCTGTGTGTTAGTGGAGCTACTTTGGGAAGTGCTTGCTATTGGTGGGGAAGTAATAGGTTCAAAACTAGCTGTGAGTATTAACACAGTCATTAGAGGACCTATCTGCTGGCCATGGTGAGAAAGAAAGAAAAAAACTTCCAGTGGGTTCCAGTACCTACCTCTGTCAGGAAAGAAACCTGCCTACGGATGCCGTAAGATAGTATGTGAGCACCTAATATATCAAAAAATGTGATTTGAATGTGGAGTGTATATGCCAGTGATGGTTTCCAGGTGTGCAAAGCTGTGGATCTGTGATTCTGTAATTCTGTGATACACCTTTGAGTGTGGACAACTATGAGTAGTAATCTGCTTTATGTTTGGGCCAGCAAACATGGTGTTACAGAGCCAGATTAGTGCCAGATGGATCATCCCGAGAAGATGGATCTTCTGAGAAACATAAGAAAAACCTGATGTAAACTTTTGAAAACAAAGCTATAGGGTCAGATGTACAAAGTCATTTGGATACCTATGAATCTTACACGTACTTATTTCTCCTGTAAGATGTTTTTGGTTTAACAAATCTGCTATAACAAAATAACTGGTACCTAAGTCTAGGTTATGGTACCTAATTCAAAAGGTAACAATATCTGTATGACAGACTTAAAATCCTGGTGCTTCAGTAAGCGTCGCTGCTGCTGAAAGGCAGAAAAAACTTTCATGAAACATTTCCTGTTTTTGAACCATTTTTTTGGAAATCTCTTTAAGCTGTGAAGCACATGAGAAGTACAACATAGTTAAAGTAAACAGAATTAACAGGTCATCTTTAATTAAGAACATAGATTTAGGACTGCTAGTCACTGAGTCAGGTTTCCTGCTGCTGTGGGATACTTTGTTGAAGTAATTTTTCAAGCTGTATCTTAAAACTGATGATGCAATTTGTTCCCACAGCTCTGAACCGAAGATTTTTCCAGGACCTCACCTTTCAAGTAACGAAGGTTAAACACCTTTCTGATTCCCACTTTAAATTCAGTCATAGTGATTTCCATTGCTTCTTGTATCAATATTGATCTTATACAGCTGTGTTCCCACTTCGATTTTTGCACCTGAATAGTTTTAAAATCAAGCTTCTTTTTGCTCTATACACTGTGTTCTTTTGACAATCCCAGTAACTCCTCTCTCCATTGTGCTCATTTTGTACGACTCCTCCCATGAATGTAATGACCAGCATATACTCAGTATTCCAGATGGTCACATTCCTCTGGCTTTATTTCCTCTCTTGGAGTTATGTCACCTAATATATCCTAGACCTGAGTTAGAGGTGTGGTGGTTATTTTTCTTTCTGATGATGACTTCTTATCTCAAAGCCAAAATTACTGTTAATTTCTAAATGTTTATTTCACATGTGGTGAAGAGCTACAAGGAGATAACCGAACATGCCAATGTCTGCAAGAACCAATTCACTTTGGTTTTGTGACTTTAGAGTATCACAGTCTGCCAGGGACGTACCACCTTCTTTGGCATTTTTTATGTATCTTGATATAAAAAAATTCATTGTGTGCATCTTATATTGCTTCCAATAACTTCCCAACTTGAGAGATTTATTAAAAATACTTGTTGCTAGATCTGTAACTTTATGCCCTAATTATTTCATTATTTTGAGATAAAGATTATATCATTCCCTGATTTTATTACATGAAATTCTTTGAATTTTGTTTCTAGTTCAGCTATAGACTTTTGTATTTCTGTACTACTCTTCTGCATTACTGTCCTGAGTTCATCATCCTTACTTAAAACAGAGGCATAGAATTTGTTGGTTTTGGACCTGGGTCTAGTTTATCTTTAATCTTGACCAAATCTTTAATCTAGAAAGTCACTGCTTTTTATTAGTCTCTGTTTGTATAACTAAAGAAAATGTTACTGTTTCTTTTCAGTTCTTCTGCAAGATGTAACTCATCTGGACTTTGGAAACTTTCTACTTTATCCTCTTGCTTCTTGACCTCCACATTTCAGCTTTTTTTTATTGCTACAGCAATAACTGGTAAATAATTTCAGTTCAAGATTGTCTGTGGGGTCGATAAGAAGCAATTAGATTATGGATATACACATTATAGGTTTCACTGAATCTATAATGTCCTCCTTTTAAAAAAGAAATGTAACTATTTACTATTATTTTCTCCATAGAACAGTTAAGGTCAAGACCAGGCTAATGACAGAGGAATTGAGAAGCAACATAGAAAGAGCATTCCTATGCACTCATACCATAGGTGACAGGAAGTTCCCTGTTTTGATTTTGTTATTTATGTCCACAAAATTGTTGCCACTGTTTCAAACCTCTGCACATTTCTCACATTACATTCTTTAACATCTTCCAGTCTTTATACAGATGGTGCATACCTCAGTATGTCTCAATGTAACATAACACTGTTTTTGAAAAGTAAATTCTGTATTGACTTTAATGAAGCTTGCTCTAGACTTATGAATTTGACATTTTGAAAAAAATTATTTTTTTATTTGCTGTGCCAGGTCTGTTTTCTTCACTTCTCATAGCAAATACTGAGAAAATATGATTAGAAAACAAAGCACAGATTTGTTTGGTTTGTTTGGGGTTTTTTTGGCAGCTGGCAGCATACATGAGATTTGTTTCTGCTGTACAAGTAGGTGATATTCCTAAAGCAAATGCTATTACATTTCAATTTCTTACTTTGTTATGTTTTAGTTGGAAATAATGAAACATTTTTACCTGTTTAAAGCAAGCTTCCACCAGATTTGGAGGGAACATATTTCTGCGAAAAAGAAAGAAAATAACATGAGAAGTAGTAAGACTCTAGTAATATCCTAAGTAGGGGCACGGCTAATAAAAGAATTAATGAGCTAGTTTGCAAAGGAATCCTAAGGCAAATATGTAAGTTTGTATACAGTGAGTAGAGCTTTGCATACAGCATTGGACTGGTTAACTTTATTGGGAGGAAATGTGGTGGGGTTGGACAAATCCTGGCAATTGCAAACCCTCTATCCAATATTGTATAGCAGGTCTGGTTATGGAGCAGGATATTAGCTAAATTACCAAATGAACAAAGCTCTGTGGGTCAGTGCTCAGTTTTAACTTTGTATTAATACTTTTCTGAATCCAGATTAATAAAGAAGTTATTAATATTTAATGCATTTCTACTCCTCAAAGAATTTTTGCAACCACATAGCCTAGTACATCACGACATTTATCACTCGATTTAGAGTCTTGTTGTGCTTAAGAAAAAAATATTTCTGAACTTTGAGTATTCTTTAATAATAACACATACACATATAATTATATATGTGTGTGTATACTTGTTACACATGGGGGTTTGTTTGTTTGTTTTCCAGAATGGTGACATTTCTGAGGGAATTAGAAGCAGCCTAACTGAATAAATCTTGAGGAATCTGAGTGCAAACCTCTTCATGGGTCTTTCTGAAGTCCCCCTTCCTGGCAGCATGACTCTTGGAGGCCTTTCTCCATGTCTCTGGCTTCTCCAAATGGGTTAGTGGAACACAAAATTTTGGTGTCTTTACCTGTGGAAAAGCTCCCGAGTTCAAAACCTCAGCTTCCCTACTCCCTGGAATACATCTGTGACATATTAGCTCTATAAAAGAGGCATTGCAGAGTCTCTGAGCAAGGAGAAAACAAGATTTTATATCTGTGCCCCTCTATTTCAAGCATTTTACTTGCCTGTCCCTGGAATTTATTTCCCATCCATACAATTTAACAAGTTGAGTAGAGGCACCCAGGTTGGAGGCTACAATTAAAAATTAAGATGAACAGCTAAATCAGGGATTCAAGTGAAGTGAGGAAACTCTCAAAAGCTGGAAGTAAAGGAAAGCAGAGGAATTTGGTAATACAGATTGTGCTATGGAAGGAGGGGAAAAGACCCATGCAGATAGCAGAACAGAAGTCTTTCTTTTGTGCGTGAAAGAAAGAATCTTTCATTGAATATTGAAAGCAGTTTCTTCCCTTGCAACAGCTTGATTTGAAAATAAATTTTTTGTAGTGTTGTAGGGGTTAGAGATATTGATATAACATAGTTGAAAGAAATTTGCCGTCACTGTCTAAAATTCTCTACTTTTGTTCTCGTGTGAATCTAAATACCACTGTTGTTGCTATTGGTACAGAAAATGTGCAATATCATAGCCATACCTGATTAAATCAAGAAAGGCATCTGCTGCTGTCACTTGCACAATTTTGCCTTCTCTGTGCATGTTTTCTTTAGTACCTTTCCCAGGGTGGATGATGACCACAATGATTATACCAATCAGTACAGCAATGATCGTAGTACTCATGTAGTAGACTACTGCTCGGATTCCCATCTTCCCTGATGCTTTACTATCCAGGGCAGCAATTCCTAGTAAATTTAAGCAGAAGGACATTCACCTCATACAGTTGTGAGTAACGAGTATAAACTCAGCATGATGAAAATTGTTTTGTGGGGAGAGATTTGATGACCAGTACTTTTAAAGCTACCCAAGGTAAGTTGGCCCTCTTTTGCCTCTTGTACTGCCCCTGTCTTCCCATCCCACCCCTAATACTTGTTATTACATAATTTGCTATTACAAGAGTTACAGATTTCTGTGCTTTGTTCACACTTTGTGAAAACCAAAGGTTCTTGCTCGGATGCAGTGTGGCACTCCCTGTATTCCAGTGAGCCAATTCATAGGTTTTGATGAGCACAGTTACCATAGTCTGAAAAATGTGCCTCAGAAATGCAGTGCACCGGATTTGTAATAGTAGGAAAGAAAATAGAGTACTCTCGTGTAACATTGATAATGTTTGCTACAACTAACGTGTATGAAGAGTTTTCTTCAATCCCTAAGGGAATGACCTCAGTTTACTTCTGTCCCAAGCCATGTGAGTTTAAAGCAGATTAAATGCTGTTAACTTGTTTCAGAAAATCCTTACTATTGTATGAATAAACATTTAGAGTCTTTTATAAGCTTTGCAAAACTTGCGACATTAATCCTAATTCTTGGCTCGTTTTAATGCATCTGATCTAATGTGAATACTAGGGTGCTCACTATGGCATCTGCTAAAGTGATTGTTCATCAGATTGCACCAACAGGGCTGCACTGTGTCTTTTAAATGAAGGTACAGTTCTGCCAGGGAAAGAGCTCTGAATCTCTTGCGAAGAAGTGTCTCTGAGGACCGTCAGAAATGGAAATGCTCTTTCTCTTTCCAAGCAGGTGCAGTTAGTGTTCTTCTCCTTAAAACTCCCTTTTGCTCCTTCTCCTTAAAATTTCAAGTAGTCAATAAGTTCCCCATACTTCAGCTGGAGGTCCACACCATCTGTCTCAAAACAGTGCTGATGCTTCTTGTGGGACTCAAGCTTTCAAACAGTAGAATGAGGAGAGAGGTCAGGAAAGAATCTCTTTGCTTTATTACCTCCTCCTGTGATTGCCTATATGGCACTGTCTTATCTGACTTCTGTGGACTAGATCCGACAGATCTAGATGCCACCTTTGAGTTTACAAAATATAACAAAAGTTGACCACCTTCTGCTCTGGGTACCTACCTCAATGGAGAAAGCATTTAGAACAAGGCAACAGGCCTGCATGAATATAAATAGTACAGAAACTTAAAATGGGAGTCATGACCTGGAAAAAACTAAGTGTTTTCTCAAATCATTGTAGATATATCATACTTCTGTCTACCTTCTGAAGGAGGAAACACGTGCTACTAGAGTTACAGTGGAAGTACTCTAGTCACTGATGTAACTGAGATCAAGGCTGTGTTCCAGGTTCTGATCAACTCTTCAAAACATAAAACCAAACATAAGTTTCATACTTACCCTGTCATTTCAGCTAGCATTTGCCTGTCCTTTTGATAGAAGCCATTAGAATAATATTTATACCCACAAAATGAATTGCAAAGGGAGATCACTAGGTTTGCACTCTGTATTGCTTGATTTACATGTGCCATTGTAGTGGAAGAACAAAGTACTGCTTTGTTGGCTATGGCACAGTAAGAAAGTGAAAATGGAAATCCAACATTTGAAGCACTCAATCCTTCATTTCTCTGCTCAGCTTTTCCATCCGTAAAACTGGACGGTAATGTTTGTGGTAAGTTTACATTTATGTTTTGAAATTCTGTGAGGAAAATGGTAAATACTACCAAGTAATAAATAATTTTCTTATCTTTACAAACAGGAAATAAGTCCTGTAGCCCTTTTGTCAGCAGATGGAGGCTCAAGTCTTTTTGGAGAGTCCTCAAAATAATGCAAATGCAAAATAATGCAAATATAATTAACCAATGCATAAAAATAAAATTAATATTTTTTTTAGAATTTCAGATCTGCTACTGAGTTGCACATTGTTTATATCAGACAGCATTTGTTACAAATATTCTTTTAAGAGTATCAGTAGGTAACTTAAAATGAACTGTAATTTGAAAAGTGAAAAATCAACGTGTGCATACTAGTCCACTCAACTTTATCTTTATATATTTTACTCGCTGTTTTATGTTCTTACTGGCTATTTCTAAAGTAGCAGCAATAGGCTATGTATTTTTTCATTTTAGCTAAGATCATCTTGGTTTACATCCTGAACATGAAAAGGTCAATGAATATAGTTTGGTAGGAAGGTTTGGGAAGATGTTAAGTCAGTCATTTCCCAGTATCCTGCCCTTGCCGGGTAATAGATTCAGGACCAGATGCTGAGCACTGCCAATCTAGAGGGTTCGCAGGCACGTGCGTTCACTGCTTTAACCAAGCCTGGTCCTTCTTTTTACTCTACACTTGAAACTAGGTTGGGTATCCTACACTTCAAAAGTCACTAGGAGTCAGTGTAGGGCATATTTTACCACTAATGATTGCTGTGTTGAAGGATTAGAGCTTGTGATCCTATTTCTTGATTGGACTGATTCTAGGATTGAGTGGCGAACCATGTGCAAGCGATATGTCAAGGAGCAGGAGTCATGCTCTTTTCTTTATTAGCGGCTTCCCAGCTTGGTTTCCTATTATGCACTCCAGCTGGGACTACATGGCCCCTTATTTTAGGTTGCTCAGTCTCATTCC